ATTTGCATTTGGAGCTGGTCGCTTCTTTACAGGAAATGAAGAATTTCTTGGGTTCAGTATTGTTCAACTTCGAAGATCCTTGAATTTTTAATTGCCGCTTTCCCTTTCCTCTACCAATATACTTGCCAGATCTGCTACAATAATAGTAGTAAGTTACATAGCCTGCTGAACTACGCTCCTTTGGAGAAGAATGTAGGACAAATGAAGATCGTGAACTTGTCTCATATTGTTCTTTCCACTGCATAAACTCAGCTAACGTGGTGAATTGCTGATGAACAAGGTCAATTGCTTTGTTGTGACAAGAACATAGGTGAATGATTAATTGATCCATTGTAATAAATCTATAGAAGTAGTAATAAACATGTAAGCAATTATGTGTATGATAATGACTATAATAATCAAGTTGTAATTATTTATCCTACTTACCGTTCAGTGCAGTCCTCTGGGCACAGTATTGTTCCACTTGAATTCTCTTTATTCCCATCAGCTTCATGCTTCAACTTGATGTGTCGAGATAAGCTACATTTTTGATTATAACTCTTCAAACATATATCACATTGAAAAGAATTAGACTGAGCTTCCACCTCCACCTGGTCACTCATGGCTGCTTTATTAATAACTTCATTAACTTGATTAACTTCAATTATTACAACTAGACCACACCTCCAATGCAAACGACCTCTCCCTAATGGCTAGTTGGCTTCTAAGTTTACTCCTTGTTTGGTCATAGTCTCGTGCCCCGCCCCTTCGCTTTTGGAGGAAGGGTCTGGGACACTCAAGGCTTTTTTGTGGTCGTCCCTAAAAAACGGACCGGACCGGACCAACGGACCATGGTCGGCGACAAATCTGTTTTACGGACCCGAATGGTCCGCGACATCTCTATTTTACGGACCACTTTGCTCACTATACCGGTAATCTTACAGATGCTAAAAATTATAGCTAATGCTTAGGTCAAGATTTACTCTTGCTGAAATCCTGCTTCTCGGTTAGATATAAGCCCAAACCTTCAGATATTGGGAATTTAACAAATTTATTCATGAAGCAACTGTATACAGCCTGAGCCTGGTACTGAGTACTGAACTTGGATGTTGTGCAGTGACTAGTCTACAAATGGTTTAAATATCTCTTACTTATTTGTGTCACTGTACAGCTTAATGTGGCAAGCAAATCTTGTTCTGAATTCAGTGGAAAAACGGTTACAAATTAGATATGTAATAATAATTGCAGCTTCTTAAATTTGTCAATGACCACATGTGTTGGTACAATTATTGTGGTTGATCATTTTATGCATGAATAACTTTAAAAATTTAAGTCTATACTTGATAACATAACATGCAGTGTATGTGAAATGTATGCATGCA